ATATGACTTTTAGGAAAAAAGATCAAATAGGTTGGGAGACAGAAGATTTTACTGGAAAAGATAATTTGTTCGACAGGCTTCATATATACATTCCCTTGCGCCTATGGTAGTACTGAATAAAAAAATATAAGCAAGTAATTTCAAGTTTCCTGTAATTTCAACTGCACAGGACCCCAGCCAGCTCTCCGGTTTTGATATGTACCTATAGAATAGTACAAAAAATCTTGTTCTGCCATTGTATGTATTGGACCTGTCCTGTACACAACAACTTTGCAGTTTAACATTCCTACCCCAAATAAGATGAGCCACCTGACTCAATAAGCTTGGGCCAAAGTCAATACTGCACCTGTGTGTGTTGTTTTTTTACTATTTCTAACCCAGCCCCACTCCTTCTGATGATTATTCAGTGATTTTTTATTTAAATAACATGACACTTATCACGTGGAAGACCTGAGTATGAATTGCCATGCCAAGCAGTCTGCAGCACATGTTATACTACTCTTCTGCCACTATGCAGTACAGTATCAGACTCTTTACTGTCCTGAAAAGCAAATAATAACTATCAAAGCACCAGATTAGGCTCACTTTTATTTCCTGGGGAATACATACTCACTGACTATAAATTTCCAGGAAACGCCACGCTTGCATACCCTTCAGGTTCCATGAATATTATTTTGTTTTGTTGTTTGTGTTAATATTCATGAATAGGCTGCTTTCTTTCCAAATGTCTGTCATCTGTTTGGGAAAAAACAAACTATCCTACGATTTAAGTGACCAATCAGCAATACAAAGTGACTGGCCAGAGGACTGAACTATGGGTTAAAAAGAAAGCTCAGATGATTAATCGGACTAAATTACATAACACTTGGAAATAACAAGTGCACTTGTAAAAATCACAGAACTAGAAAAGCTCTTCTGTTACTTAATCTATTTTGAAAAGATAACTAAATTTTCCTTTATTTCCCTGAGAATTCAGGTCTTAGTGTTGTGCCAAGTCTCAACCATGTCCCACTGAGGTCAGCAAAGCTCCTACCTATGCTGCGGTGGGTGGGCATTGCTGTCACAGCCTGGGGCACTACATGCCCTGCATACAGGCATCCTCCATCACACTCAGGACTATGTTTACACACTGACAGTGGGGAAAAAAAAAAAAAGAGTGCACCTCAAAGCATGGTGTGGTAAATCTGAGGAGAGGTTAGCTCTGATGTGGAGAAGAGAATGGGTCCTTTAAAGCCTGGACTTTAGTCTTTGCGGGGAGTAAAGCATACCAGCACACCTCTATGGTCTTCCCATGGTAGCTGAAGTAATGCTTTCACCGTGATGACTCTCTCACTGAACCCAAAATCTCCTATAGGTGACAGTATCTTTCAAAACAGCTGTAACTTCATTAGCCATAGAGTTAATTCTGGCTGTTAGCTGGTGAAGCCTTCTTCCCAGGTTTATCAAGACACTCACAGAGGAGTACCCCAAACCATGGCTGTAAGTTGCCAGGACCGGGCAGAACAGATTTGAGGAGAAATGATAAGTTCTTTAAAACAGCCTGTGAGCCTTGCTTGGAGGTAAACCTAAAAGGAAATACATCTACTCGAACACATCACTGTTCAGCATACTCATCTATCATGTGCTTTGTAGCAGCTTTTAGAGAAAGATGGTTCATGTTCCTGGCTCTCATACGCTCCACATGTAAACAGAGTAATTTCTTCGTCTCCCGAGACACCCCTTACATACACAGCTGCAGTGTGGGAGAAGCGTGTTGTTATAGTTACTGGCTATGACTTACCCCTGCCATTGTCATGGTATTTTCAGTAAATGCCACTTAAACAGCAGTCTAGCAAAGGTTTGCAGAGTAATGACTGCCTGCATTCACTTAATAACAGGACACAAGCATCTCTGCGTCCCAGTCTCTTCACCCATTTCTCCCTGTCCCTTACATCATGAATGAGACACTGATTATCTTACATAAGGAACACAGCAAAGGTCACTTCTTATATTTGAAATTTTTTTTCACTTCTGCTCCCTGGAAAGGTCAGCATACAGGGGAAAAGCAGAGCTCTTCCCCTCTGGCAGCTCTCAAGAGACAGGTATGGAGTGCCCAGGACACATCACCTTTTAGAGACACTGTGGCTAGTGAGCAAAAACGCTTTGCAGGTCAAGTCTGTAAGGGGCCATGGTTTTCTACCTTGTTTTGGGTCTATCTTTTGCTAAATACAGTCACTGTGACCCCACAAGAGCTGGCATAATGCACCCTGTAACACTTTTGGTCAAGATTGCGGTACAATGACAAGGTTGTGGGAATGAGCAAAGATACATGCCCATAAAATGGATTATGCTGAATGATGCTATTCAGCTGCTTTTGAGATGCAAAGACAACAATTAACTGAGCTGACGTGAACGGATGCAAATAGGAACAGCTCTTCATGCCTGGCACTTAGAGAAACAAGACTTTGGTATACCATCAAATAGTAACTTCTCAGAGGCCGACAGCAGGAAAATGGGGACTAACAGGTTTTCACAGACCCCAGACTCAGATGAATAAAGGTGATGTACTGAACATTTGAGAGACAGCCATCAGAAGATGCTTCTTCTGTACTTTTGCCCAGGGTACAGCAAAGAGAAACAGAGAGCCCCTAATTGGAAGCAGGCTTCTACAGGAGTCAAGGAGCTGTTTGTTCAGGCAAACTGAACCCTGTGTACATTTAATGAATAGATTATACTAAATCTCATAGATAAGAAGTGCTGTGACACTATCCTACAAGTTTCTCAGTTAGACAGAAGGCATTTCATGAAGTGTGAAATTTTATTACTACTCAACAAACAAAGCAGGTTTTCTATATGTTTTAGAACATATAAGAAGCTGTATGGGACAAAGCTAATGTGATTTATCAGGTGCTTTTTGTGAAAGCAATTAGGTATGGGATTCCCAAAAGAGTTTCTGAGAAAGGGTCCAGCAAAGATAATTACTAAATATGTATCAATACTGCTGCGGAATTAGCATCAGAAACCTGTGTACAGAAAGTCCTCCTATGCTAACTTTGTGATTTGACAAGCTAACCAACTTTGTCCCAAGTTCGCTTAAATAAGCACTTCTTTCAGTTTAATGTTAGATCACGCTGCATGAAATAAATGTTAATTGCCATCACTGCATGAACAATCAGCAAAACTGCTGAAATAGAAGTCCAGTCCTGCGGCCTTCGACTGGCAAACATCTCCTGCACTCTACAGAAGAACCTGAACCGCAGCCAGGGAAGTTAATCCTAGTTTGTACATAGGATCTTGCATCAAGGCAGTACTAGTCTAAAGCGTACTGATGAAATCTGGTCTTGTAACAAACCTCGTAAATAAAGCTGAAACTGGCACTGCATCTCTTCTCCCACACACATGTTCTCCTTCAAGTTGTAAACTGCGCAGCAGATACAAACCTAGCTACAGAAGGATAGCTGCACACTGACAGAGAGAAAAGGCAAACAGACCTACTATGAAATGTATCGCAGAACTAGAGGCATAGGAGCTGAATTTCAGCTGCAAAACATCAACCTTATCTCATGGACCTCTGTCTCTGTCCAGTTAAGCCAGCAAGGCTGTGAATTTAAGTGGACACAAGCTTTTGCATTCAAGAGTTTACACAAATCCACATGAATCCCATCACTTGCTTTCCATGACATTTCAGAAGAAACTTGTCATTAACTTGCAATAATTACTGGCAGTTCCTCATGCTACTGAAAAAACCCTTTTCTTCTATTGTACTTTCTGTCCTGTTGGCCTATAGGATGGTCAAACTTTCTAAAAGACCAAGAAAAAAAAGCCTCATTCTCCATGTATGGTTCATATTTTGTTATTTATATTTTGTCAGACTAAAAGCTAGTGCTAGTATTTCCATTTTTAGGTCTGATAGAAGAGAGTCTTCATCTCTAGTGCTTAAACCACACATTTGAATCACATTGCTACAGCATGCAGAATGCTGCTTTATCTAAGTATTCAGCTGAACACTCCTGCATGTTGTCAGGGTTGATTTTTATTGTTTGCTTCGGCTACATAAAATTAGTATTGAAAAACTATGTACTAAAGGACCTATCCATTGAAAACATTTTCTTCTATGATTGACTGGTATTAATCGTTTTCTTTTTTCACACACAGAGGGATGTGTTCAAGTAGACTTCAAAATGAGGGTTGATATATCAAGGATTATTCAAGTTTTTAATGTTCCTTTCTAAGCAGTGAACTTGCAAAAATTGCCAGTAGTCAGTAATGCAGATAAACTATTCTAGTTACTGGCAGCAGTACTTGCAAATGAAAAAAGTTACGGACAGTGTGATATGTGACACTTGAAGTGACAGGAATCAGACTTTGTGGTTTTTCACAAAAGATCCTTATGTAACTTACTGATGGCTTTGTAGCTAAGGATCCTTCCTACAAGTCATAGTTGTTCGTTGCTCAGATATATAGCTGCTTAGCTCATGAGGTAATGTTATGTACTGCCTCAGCATTTCTGAACTAGAGCTCTCTGGAGATGGAGACCAAGATGATATGTCTGTACTACGGCTAAGTACTGAAACCTAACAGACTGTTTGCTTGCTTACAGTTATTTATAAGCTTGTGTGTTTTCAGGATTTACTTATGAAAAGTAATTCCACTTAATAGCAGTACAACAGCATGGCAATAATTCATATTTATAGATTGTAATATACTTTCAGACAGTCCTAAATTCCTTTACAAAGTGCGCATCTATAAATCAACCTATAAATCAGTATGTTCACAAACACTGTAAGACTGAAAAGAACACTGAGTGAAACTGAAAATGCTGAGTATTTAAGTCAGGTAGAACATGTTTGCTCAGACTGGAAAGTTATCATCCAAACAGGACTGCCCACATCTACTCTGGGCACTTAAAGCAATGGGCCTACATTAAAAACTTTATGACTCCTGCACAGCAGCCCTCTGTGCAGTACTACTTTTCTAATGCAGGATAATAGCTTAAAACTGAACTGGAACATTCAACTAACCTGTTTCTCACCACTTGGCTTTCTGTAATTCAGCAGCAGTTCCACAGCTCCCACCACCTCTTTCCGTATTGCATACAGCAGAGCATCTCCCACATACACACTGTGGCTCAAAAGCAGCTCCATGATCTCCAGATTTTCATTCTCTATGGCTATTAAAAGGGCACTGCGACCAAGAGGATCCATACAGTTAATGTTGATGTTGTAATAGATCTCTGCCTCTTGCAAGGCATGTTTCACACTGGCATAGTCCCCCTTCTCCACAGCGCTGAGGTAGGCCTTCTCTTCCAGTGAGAGCTCTGCCTCCGCTCGCACAATCTGTAATGGGATCCGATCTCTGTACGGTGAATAGTTTACTTTTTTGTAGTATAGCTGGGCCATTGTTCATAGTGACCGGGCAACCTATGGGGGAAGAAGAGGCATGCATAAGTGACAAAGCAGACAAGCAACCCCCATCTGTTCCTCACAGGGGACCAATTTCCAAAGGTCCCTCATGGCAAAAGCTTCCAATCCCTTTACAAGCTGTTTTATTCTCAAGACAGTGACTGTAACACCCCTGAGCAACCCCACATTAAAAGGCTACCTGAAAAATAAAGGTTACACTACTACTCAGAAGAGGTATGCAGAATGACAGACACTCAGTAAATTTTTAAATCTGGTTTACACACTATGCCATTGATTTCTTTTATCTGGTCAGAAGCATGATCTTGTATCTATTGCATGTGCAAATAGGTGGATTTGTCACCTTTGCTTCATTTCCCACCCTGTTTTATTCAATTTCCTCCTTTTTCACTGCTGAGCCATGTCTTCAGCATCTCTGAACTGTCAGTGATGGGAGCCACTAATTTACACCCTCCTATTTACAGTAATAAGATTTCTTTTGATTATTTTTGCAGCTTATTCTCTGCTTCCATCTCTTAAAATAGGTTTTTATTTTTCCTTAATGTGTACTCTTTGACTAGGTCACAGTTTTATTTTTAAAGCTTGCATGTTTTTAAACATATTTTCTCACTCTCCTCATTTATAAATAGGACCTAAAGACAGGCTGATGTAGAAAGCCACCGCCCTTGCTCTCCAGAGGCAGCGATGTTGTTTATGGTCCAGGAAAACAAGAAGTAAACCCTGCCCTGGAACAAGTGTAGCAAACTGAATGAATTGCTGTTCCTTCCCACAGCTAACAGGTGACTGACGTCAGGAAACACGGGCTGGACAGGTATTCACATGTAAGGGAAAAAAAGAGTATGATTATCTACCTCTGTCTGGCATCGATAAACCACATTAAATCGGGACCAGGGGAGACCAGCTGCTGCAGCTAATTGGATGACTTACTGCATCTCCTTGCCCAAAGCTCAATGGTTTCCTGCAGCAAATTAGCCAGAGTTTTGTTCCATTTTAGTGCCCTATCCAGGGAAAATAGGAGGTTTTGATAAAGAGATAATGAGAAAGAGGATCTTGTGGTTCAGGTGCCGAACCAGGAGTGAGACGCCATAGGTTCTGTTTTTACCATCCCACTGCATGCCATAAGGCAACCGTCTTCAGCAGAGCCAATTTGCATTTTGCCTTCAGCTCCAGTGTAACAGGCCCAGTGCGGCGGGAGTGGGTGGATCTGAGCTCCAGCCCAGCTGACACTGCAAAATAGTGGGTGGTTGTAGCATACAGCAAAGTTACATCTGCGAATTTCCTGGGGAGCCAGAGATCTGTAACAACGAGTTTGGCATCTCAAAAATCTCTTAGCATCCTGGTTTCCTACAAGTATGAGAAAAGTTTTTGTTTCTTTTATTTGCAGAGTTACAGCGATCTGCACATATGCTTCAACCTGAAGACACACAGGAAGGCGGTAGAGGCAAAAGGACCTATGATCTGAATAGAAAGCATCATAAATATATTGGCTTATTTTCTATGAAAACGTTATGCCACTAAAGCTTTTAGGACTAAGAAACAATCTTGAATGACTTAGGAGCTTGAAGTCTCAATAAACTGCATGCATAATCAACTTCTCTGATTTTCAAAAGAAGCAAGGATCACAAGTCATTTTTCAAATGTTGTTTTTGAAAATGTTATCCCTGTGGGGTCCAGCCAATTCCCACTGAATACTGACAAGACACAAAAGGATGCAGAACAAGTGTGATAACAAGTAAGGACCAAAGAGATCTTTAAGAAAGTAAGGATAAGCCCAATCGGGAAGGGAAATTTTGTCCTCGTGTGACAATCCAGCTCACAGGAGCAGGGGGCAGCAGCAGTTGTGGGAGATCTCCAGGGGGAAATCTGCTGACACCAAAAAACCTGAGGGATTCTGGTGACAAGTGCAGCTGCTAAAATGGAACCAGGTATTTTTCACTGCTCTTCAGTTTAATTGAATGTTTTGTAGATGATGAATAACATTTGCAATGAGTTATAACAAATGTCACCTTATGAAACATCATGACAGAATTGGATCCCTTTCCTTTCCAACAATTTTATAGAAAGAAAGGAAAGCTTCAGATATCTTGACTTCTCGGTGAGATCTCACCTCCCAGTACAACCCCAGTCCAAGAAAGCACTTTGTTAATATTTCAAGCACATAAAAAAGTGCAATAAAACGAAACAGGAAAGACTCACAAAATTAATCATTTGCCCTGAATTCTTCTCATGCCATCATCTGCACAGCCTAACAAACAGACGTTGCTGACTGGGTTTGGAAATGATAGCATGCAGTATCAAAACAAATATATGCCTGTCTGGATTACATGGAAGATTTCAGCAAAACCTTTAGCTGTTGAGCCACCCCTCAACCTGAGATCCCGTAGAATTACAGATGGACCTTCCAAACCTGATGTCTTTCTTTTACAAAACTGTAGCAGAGCAGCAGTCAAACATCTGGATAAAAAAAAAGAAGAGCCCAAGGATTACTGCTCTCTAGTTATTACTTCCCAACACCACCAATCTTCTGGAGGCAGCACCTCTTGGTGAAAGAAACAGACATTGCTGGTAGACCCTAGACCACTTGTTTGTCCCAGAGTGGTACTGTCTCCTGCTTAACAATTACAAAATGACAAACATATTGATGAAATCCAGGTAAGAAAAGGGGTAGGCAATTCATACATGCCTAGAGAGAAGAAACAATAAAGTACCTGAAAGGTAGCAAAAATAGAAGCACAGTCACACTAAAATTTTGAAATCTGTGCAGAAGGCCTGAAAACACACATTTTCCATATGAATTCTCTGCACAGAGAGGCATTTTACACTACTTCAGTTAGTATTTGGGGCAAGGAAAATTTTTTCCAGTCTATGCCTGATTGCAGATGACTGGCTAATGCAATGGTGATATCTGCAGCACAAACAGGTGTAGAAAAACTAAGAAAACCAGACAACAAACTACACAAGGGAAAGAGGACTTTCTACTCAGTTTGCACTCTTACCACCTCTCTCCAGCTGAGTTGCACTTCTTCCTGAACTTAGTCCAAATCTTCAAGCCATTTCAGCCTGACACCACTTCTATGTCACCTGCCACAGAAATGAGAGCTGTAGCCCCTGAAAAGTAGCCAGAAACAGCTTGTCTGGTGTGGGGAAGGAAGGTTTACAGCTACATTACTTTGTCTAATAACACAGAATGTTTTTTCTATCCCTGTAAAAATTTCTCTGCATCTTCCAACACTCAGTTCAGACATATCCTCTGCAACAATAAGGCCAAGTGAAATGGCATCACAGCTGCCACAGGTGGGGTTTGCTGGGATCTCCTGCTGCCTGCTTTTGGACTGGACTCTTGGGATGAACACATTACAATCACACGGGAATGGCATTACTTCAGTTGAGGGGTGAAAACAATGGCTTTTGTTGAAAACTAAGTGCCTTTATACATGTCACCAACAGTAAGAAATCTAAAGTCAGCACTCTCTACAGACACTGCACTGTCCTCAACACCCTTCCGTGTCTCCCACCCTGAATCACGACTTGATACCAAACGATCAGTGCATCACACTGATGTATCGTGCCCAGGTGAACCACAGATCGCTTCAGCACCAAGGAGGAACAAACAGAAAGAATGAAAATTAGCTTTATTTTCTAACGTTTCTTGTCAGAGAACATTATGAAAAACTGCACAAAATCTAGAGTGATGTGTGGTAGCATGGGAAAAGGCCAGGAGGGCTGCCTGAGCAATGTGTAAGAAACAGTGAGGAGAGGGCAAGGAGAAAGAAGAGCCAGGGGAGTTGCACTGAATAGTAGCCATTAGCTTGAGATGTGGTTAATGAAGATAGGCAGGCAAAGGTCACTCAGCAGCACTGCCTTTTGTCATTCAGAATTTCACGAGTTTCTACTAAATTATTTTTTTTAGGACCTGTTAGCAGTAGAACCATCCCTCATTTCCCACTTTGCGTGCACTACATACTCCCACATGCCACTCTCTCACAGGAATCAGAATGACCTGTATGAAATGAGACGAGTACAACTGAAAGGGTGGGAGCCAGTGCCGGTTTACATCCATGTAGTCACTAGGCCCATTATAAAGTAGGACCTTCCTGGCTTTTATTTGCTTTTATCATCATTTGATTTTTTATGATGCTGATTAAGAGGCAGAAAAGCACCATTGCTCCTGATTGCTGAGCTCCCTGTGTAATGGAAGCAGAGACTTGTAGGGGTATTGAATTTAGATATTGGAGCTCATCACTCGCAGCTGAGGTGAGCATCTGACTACCTGAGGAACAAATCAAATTCTGGATCTTGAACACAGGATCAATAGACAAGAGCTACCTTTCCCACTTGATGGGACTCAGTACGAGCAGCCAACTCACATCACACATTAGAGCAGACAACAAAACACCCCATCTGCCAAGTTGCAAATAGAGCGGTTGGTTGTTCCCTCCTACTGGAGATTCACTCTGACACATGTTGGCAAAACTGTGTGTGTGGCTTTAAATGTCACTACATCTTCTCTGTCAGATCTGCAGAGGGTTTATGTGCTGGAAAACCTGACTGTATTTTCTAGTTGTATCAGGCCAATAAAAGAATTGATCTCTTACCACCCATCTTCACTGCTTCCCTCCATCCTTCTCTCCAAGGCTATTTTTTCTTTTTAGTATTTCAGGGAGAGAATTTCCTCATTTTGCATTTCTAATCTGGACTTCAGGTCCAGAAATCATGGACCATAACTGCTAAAACAGCCGGACTCTTTCATCATGCTCAGAGGCTGCGGGCTCAGTAATATTGATCTTTTTTAAGAAGGTTATAAACCTGAGTTATGAAATAGTCCAGAAGGGCCACTTAGGTAAATAATATTACATGTAGTTAACAGACCAATTGAATTTGTGATTGGATCCTTCTTTTAAGTGCTCTAGATGTTATTTACTAACAATGCCTGACTGAACTTATACCTCCCACACTTTGAGGAAATAAAACTGACTTTGTAACACTCTGCAGTTCC